GACCTTGAATCAATACCAGATTAAGTCCTAGTGGTCTTGTTTCTGTTTGGCGCACATGCTCTCTACTGCCTTATAGGAGCTCTTAGCTATCGCTTCATTTCACATCAAATCAGGTTTAGATTTAGAGACCTCCATCAGCCTGCCCTGTGCTATCTCATTGCCCTCACTCCCTTTACCTGCTTTCCTCCTGTATAGTCAGAGCTTCCCAGAGAAACAGAACTAATAGGATTACAGTCGGCCTTCCATATCTGCAGGTTCCACATCTGCAGGTTTAACCAACCCTGGATCGAAAATATTCAGAAAAAAATGTTATGTTGATGCGGATGTGTACTATGTACTTAAGCCTAGGATGGTCGCATCTGTACTGAACATGTGCAGACTGTTTGGGGTCATTATTCTCTAAACAATACAGTTAACAACTATTTACATAGCACTTACATTGTACTAGGTATTATAAGTAATCAAAAGATGATTTAAAATATACGGGAGGGTATGCATAAGTTATATACAAATGTTATGTTACTTTATATAAAGGACTTGAGCATCTGTAGATTTTGTTATCCACAAGTGTCCTGAAATCAAGTCCCCACAGATACTGAGGGATGACTGCATCTATCTATCATCTATCTATTATCTATCTATCTATCTATCTATCTATCTATCTATCTATCCTCTATCTATCTATCTATCTATCTATCTATCTATCTATCTATCTATCATCTATCATCTATCTATCTATCTATCATCTGTCAAGAGATACTGAGATTAAAATTGAAGTATTTTAAAGAATTGGCTCATGCAATTGTGTGAGCTGGCAAGTCCAAAATCTCTAGGGCCATCTTGCAGGCTAGAGATTCAGGTAAAAGTGATGGTGCAATCTTGAGTCTGAAGGTTGAAAACTCAGGAAGCTTTTCTGTGCTGTTGTCTGGAGGCATAATTCCTTTGTCTTTGGAAAACCTCAGTCTTTGCTCTTAATGCCTTCAATTGATTGGGTGAGGCCCACCCACATTATGGGAAGTAACCTGCGGAGAGTAGATGTTAATCACAGCTAAAAAATATCCTTACAGCAACATCTAGACTAGTGTTGACCAAACAACTAGTCACTATAATTTAGCCAAGTTGACACATAAAATTAACCATGACACCCTCTTCATTGCATTCAGACAAAATGATATTACCCTGTCTCTGATCCTTCACCTACACCATCTAATATGACCTGTGGATATTCCAATTCACATTGACCTGTCAGCAGGAGCCTTTTCTGCTCCTTTTCCTGTTACATATAGCTTTATTTTTACTAAACCCAGCCCATGTCCCATTTCTCCTTAACTAGTTTCACCCTGACTGATATCTGTACTCTAAAACACAAGTGCATGTACTAGACTCATATGTATTTGCTCTTAGCATTAGCAGCATGATATTCATTTTGAAAGTAGATTAACAGACTATATTCTGGATTTTCTGGGACTGTCCGAATATTCTGTTGTTATTTTTAATAAAAAACAATTATTTAAATATATATCCAAAGGTGATATTGTTTTCAATGCATTGAGCCTTTTTATAGAAATAAAAATTTTTTAAAGAAGACTTTTTTTTTTTTTTTATATCATGAGATTCCTGATCTTAGGTTGGGGAGGTATAGTTACCATCAAATTTGTTTTTACTCATAGAACAATTGAATGAAGTCTTGGATCCATCAAAAATAGTCTTATTTAATAGTTGGTGCCTAAACCAGCAATTATTACTCCCTTAAGTTTTGTGAGTCGGGTGGTTACTAAATGCAGCAGAAACAAGAAGTAGGTGGGTGAAGGTATTTTCAGTTTCAACTAGTGTCCAACTGGGCATCTTGGCACAGGTTGGAGTATATAAAGTGGAAAGAGTGGTATTTGTTGAAGGAGCCTCAGGCTGGATTTAGGATACTCGGAGTCATACCCGGGCATTACCTGTGATTAGCCCTGTGATGTTTGACCAGTTTCCTGTTCTGTAAGGTACTATTTTGAGGCCTAAGATAATGCATGTTAAAGTTCTTAGTAGAAGAGTTTTGCAGTATTAACGGTTGTTGTTTTAAGTAGTCACAGTTGTTAGAGAAATTGGAATTTCATAACCAAGGTGACCTGGAAATTCATGATTTGATCTTCCAGTTTATTTGACTCCATGCTCATGAAGGGCCTGTGTAGCTTGAAGTAACAGTGGGGTTGAACAACAGATGTTGAGCACCTAAAATAAAGTGATCTTAGATGTATGGAGAATGGGGAAGGGATTCCAGAAACATGGGGGATAAATCTGGCAAGATGTGGTGAGTGGATACATGGGATCAAAAAAAAAGAGAGAGCTAAGGAATATGCCAGTTTGAGAGACTAGGGACCCTATAAGCTGTGATGACCAGCTGTATATGTCTCACCCTCAGAGAAAAATCAGGGCTGTGAAATTCAAATTTGGGAATAATTAACATATGCCTAGTGGCTACACACAGGTGATACAGGAGGTCACCATGGGGAATGTAGAGTGATGAGAGCTGGTGGCTGAAGAGGAAGCCTGTTAAATACCACCTAATCCCCACCGTTACCATGCACATGCTACTTGCTCAGTAAAGGTTATGAATGAACAAATGAACAAATGAGTGAATGGGAAACAAACCAGGCTCAGTTTGACAAACACAGTCAAGTGACTGTAGGAAAATAAAGAAAACAGAAAAACCAGAAGTATCAAGACCCCCAGGGTCTAGCCAAACATTGAACTTTATAAAATCTAAATGTAGTTCTTCTGGTTAAAAAGGACTACTCACCCTTTCTGGTAAACAGTTTGGCAGCCTGAATCAAGCCTTTGTTAAATTAATATCCCTTGACCCATTAATTCCACTCACAGGAATCCACCCAAAGAAAGTAAGCAGAGCTGCAGACAAAGATTTATGCAGAAAGATGGTTCATATTCCTGAGACTTAACATTCCCTGAAAGGCTTGGGTTGGGAGGGGGCATTTAACTTTGGCATATTTCTAAAAGTTTTGATACTGAGCAGGACACATTTTCATTAATGTTTAAGGTAGAAGGTGAGCAAAGAAATCTTGTCATTTGCCCTTATACCCCTACTCTCCTCTGCTCTTGGAGTTACCTTCGTGGGAAAGTTGAGGATATTCTGGTCTGCAGGGTGGGATGAGAGCCTTTGTTGGCATCTATGATATGGCCCTTGTGATTTCCAGTTCAGCCTCATTTCAGGGTGTTCCTGGCTTCTCATGTCATATTCCAGAAATATCTCGAGAAGTTTCTTGAATACATCAGGATGTTGTACACCCTCAAGCCTTTGCCCATAGTGATCCTTCCTTCTCTCTATCTGCATTGCCCTTCTCCCTTTCTTTCACCTATTTGGTGAACTCCTATTCATCCTTCAAACAAAACAATTTATATAAAGTTCCTAATGCAGTGCCTGGCACATAGTAGGTCTGCAGTAAGTGGTAGTTACTACTATTGCTATTGTGTCCAGCACAGGCTAGACTTTCTAGAAAGACTGGACTACACATTGGCAACTGCCCCATATTGTTTTCTGGAATGTGCAGCGTTGAACTAAAATGACCTTCTGCTTAACATTGGGGTGGTTCATTCAGGGAGGGCTGCCAGGGCTTCCTTCTCACTTAGAGAGAGTAGCTCCATGCTGGCATTTCTTACTGATTCTCAAATGACAGGAGATGATCACTGCAGAGGCCTCAGGATTTTCTGAGGTCATCCACTTAGAGGTTGGTGACTAAGACTTAACAGCTCTGAGGTCTCTACCTCCTAATTTATATGAGCATCCTTGCCCAAAAAGTCCCCTGAAGTTCATCTTCTAGTTTTGGCTGGCTCTTACTTGATTTTATTAGGCTATTACTCCTCCCTCCCCCC